GGAGAGCCCGGAGAGCCAGTGAGAGCCGGGAGAGCCGGGAGAGCCAGTGAGAGCCGGGAGAGCCGGGAGAGCCAGTGAGAGCCGGGAGAGCCGGGAGAGCCGGGAGAGCCGGGAGAGCCCGGAGAGCCGGGAGAGCCGGGAGAGCCGGGAGAGCCCGGAGAGCCGGGAGAGCCGGGAGAGCCGGGAGAGCCAGTGAGAGCGGAGAGCCGGGAGAGCCGGGAGAGCCGGGAGAGTCCGGAGAGCCGGGAGAGCCGGGAGAGCCAGTGAGAGCCGGGAGAGCCGGGAGAGCCGGGAGAGCCGGGAGAGCCAGTGAGAGCCGGGAGAGCCGGGAGAGCCGGGAGAGCCGGGAGAGTCCGGAGAGCCGGGAGAGCCGGGAGAGCCAGTGAGAGCCGGGAGAGCCGGGAGAGCCGGGAGAGCCAGTGAGAGCCGGGAGAGCCGGGAGAGCCGGGAGAGCCGGGAGAGCGTCAGAGCGGGAGAGCCGGGAGAGCCGGGAGAGCCGGGAGAGCCAGTGAGAGCCGGGAGAGCCGGGAGAGCCAGTGAGAGCCCGGAGAGCCGGGAGAGCCATCAGAGCCGGGAGAGCCGGGAGAGCCGGGAGAGCCGGGAGAGCCAGTGAGAGCCGGGAGAGCCGGGAGAGCCCGGAGAGCCGGGAGAGCCCGGAGAGCCGGGAGAGCCGGGAGAGCCGGGAGAGCCGGGGAGAGCCAGTGAGAGCCGGGAGGGGACCCAGGAGGGCAGGGCAGGCCCCCCCCCCCCCGACACACACCTCCCAGGCTCCTTAGCGGCGGCTCAGACATCCTGCTCAACGTGTTCCTGGCCATCGCCGTGGACAACCTGGCCGAGGCCGAGAGCCTGACCTCCGCCCAGAAGGCCAAGGCCGAGGAGCGGAAGCGCAGGAAGATGTCCAAGTGAGGGCGGGGGGGGGGGGGGGGGACAGGAGGACGGGGAGGGAGGAGGGAGGGGAGGAGGAGGAGGGAGGAGGGAGTGGGAGGAGAGAGAGGGAAGAGGGAGGAGGGAGAGGGAGGAGGGAGAGGGAGGAGGGAGAGGGAGGAGGAGGGGGAGGGAGGAGGGAGGGGGAGGAGGAGGGAGAGGGAGGAGGGAGAGGGGAGAGGGGAGGAGGGAGAGGAGAGAAGGAGGAGGGAGTGGGAGGAGGGAGAGGGAGGAGGGAGTGAGGAGGGAGAGGGGAGAGGGAGGAGGGAGGGGGGAGGGAGAGGGGAGACGGAGGAGGGAGGGGGGAGGGGGGGCAGGCGGCTTCCCCGGCCGGGTCCACAGGGGCCCTGGCATGCAGCCCTGACAGTGCCCACAGCCTGTCCCCCTCCCCGCTCCCCCCCCCGAGCCCCCCGGTGTCCCCTGAGGGTCGCCCCGTCCCCTGCTGAGCAGACCCCGAGAAGGCTCCTCTCGGCCTGTCTCCCAGGGGCCTCCCGGGCCGGCCGGAGGAGGAGAAGGCCGTGGCGGCCAAGAAGCCGGAGCAGAAGCCGAAGGGCGAGGGCATCCCGACCACGGCCAAGGTGAGCGGCCGGCTCCGAGGCCGGGGGTGGCCTGGGGGGGTACTCGGTTCTGGAAGCCCCCGGTTCCCAGAGCCTGTGAGGTGCTGGTGGGTGCTGGTGGGTGGGTGGGCGGGGGAGGTAGACAGGCTCTCAGCCAGGCGGGGGCACTGCCGTCCACTCCCATGGGGACAGATGCCCAGCCCGGCCAGCATGGCTGGCCTGGCTCCGTGATGGGACGTCGACCTAGGAACCAGGAGGTCAGGGTTCGATTCCCGGTCAGGGCACAGGCCCGGGGTGCGGGCTCCATCCCTAGGGTGGGGCGTGCAGGAGGCAGCCGGTCCATGGTTCTCTCTCATCCTGGATGTTCCCCTCTCCCTTCCTCTCGGAAATCAATAAAAACATGTTTAAAAAAAATAAAAAGGGCCCTGACTGGTGTGGCTCAGTGGATAGAGCGTCGGCCTGCGGACTGAAGGGTCCCGGGTTCGATTCCGGTCAAGGGCATGGACCTTGGTTGCAGGCACATCCCGGGTGTGTGTGTGTGTGTCTGTGTGTGTGTGTGTGTGCAGGAGGCAGCTGATCGATGTTTCTCTCATGGATGTTTCTAGCTCTCTGTCCCTCTCCCTTCCTCTCTATAAAAAAACAATAAAACATATGTAAAATATATATATATATATATATAAAACACATATAAAAAAATAAAAAGGGGATGGCATCGTGTCCCCCGTCCCGGCTGTAGGGGAGCTGGGGGCAGAGCCTGCACCCGCCCCGCCCCCGGAACGGCCCCTGCGCGGCAGCAGCAGGTCTCCCCTCCTCCCCAGCCTCTCCCCTGTGTCCCTCCGGCAGCTGAAGGTCGACGAGTTCGAGTCCAACGTCAACGAGGTGAAGGACCCCTACCCCTCAGCGGACTTCCCAGGTGGGCGTCCCGGCTTCCTCTTGGGGTTCAGGCCCTCCTGTGCCCCCTGCCTCGTACCCCCTGCCCCTACCCCCGCCTGTGAGCGTCCGGGACAGAGGGCGCCCCAGGACAGGCCCTCCTGTGCCCTCTACCACCCCACCCCCCCGGCTGTGGGCATGGGACAGAGGGTGGCACCCCGAGGCTCAGGGCCCCCCTCCCCGCCCTCCCGCCCTCCCCCCAGGCGACGACGAAGAGGAAGAACCCGAGATCCCGTTGAGCCCGCGCCCGCGGCCGCTGGCCGAGCTGCAGCTGAAGGAGAAGGCGGTGCCCATCCCGGAAGCCAGCGCCTTCTTCATCTTCAGCCCCACCAACAAGTGGGCGCCCTGGCAGCGGCGAGGGGGGCCTGGGGGCGCTGAGCGAGGCCGCCGCCTGCCCCCGGGGGGCGCTCTGGCCTCTGGGAGGACCTCAGCCTGCAGCGGAGGGCCTGGTGCCCCGTCTGCCTCACCAGCATCTCTGCCTCTGTGCCGGCGCCTTTCTGAGAGTCCTTTTATTTTTACATTTTATTTTGGAATACGTTCTTATTGATTCCAGAGAGGAGGAGGGAGGGAGGGAAAGAGAGAGGAACATCCATGATGAGAGAGGATCATGGGTCGGCTGCCTCCTGCATGCCCCGGACTGGGGATGGAGCCCACAGCCCGGGCCTGTGCCCCGACGGGGAATGGAACCCTGACCTCCTGGTTCATGGATCGAGGCTCCACCACAGAGCCAGGCTGGCCCCCTGTCCTCCCCTGACCAGGAGGGAGAGACCAGCGCCCCCTGCAGGACGGAGGGGGCGGGGGGCCTGGGTGCTCTGACCCTAACCCTAACCCTGACCGGGAGGGGGAGACCAGCGCCCCCTGCAGGACGGAGGGGGCGGGGGGCCTGGGTGCTCTGACCCTAACCCTAACCCTGACCCGGAGGGAGAGACCAGCGCCCCCTGCAGGACGGAGGGGGCGGGGGGCCTGGGTGCTCTGACCCTAACCCTAACCCTGACCCAGAGGGAGAGACCAGCGCCCCCTGCAGGGGGTGGGGGGGCCTGGGTGCCCAGGAGCTCACAGTCCTCGGCCCTCCCTCCGGTGCCCGCAGGTTCCGCGTCTTCTGCCATCGCATCGTCAACGCCACCTGGTTCACCAACTTCATCCTGCTCTTCATCATGCTCAGCAGCGCCGCCCTGGCCGCCGAGGACCCCATCCAGGCCGAGTCCACGAGGAACCAGGTGAGGGCGGCCCAGCACCGCCCCAGACACCAACCCCACTCTGTGCTGGTGGTGATGGTGGTGGTGATGGTGGTGATGATGGTGATGGTGATGGTGGTGGTGGTGATGGTGGTGATGGTGGTGGTGATGGTGATGGTGGTGGTGATGGTGATGGTGGTGATGGTGGTGGTGATGGTGATGGTGGTGGTGATGGTGATGATGGTGATGGTGATGGTGATGGTGGTGATGATGGTGACGGTGATGGTGGTGATGATGGTGATGGTTATGGTGGTGATGGTGGTGGTGATGGTGGTGGTGATGATGGTGATGGTTATGGTGGTGATGATGGTGATGGTGATGGTGGTGATGGTGGTGGTGATGGTGGTGGTGATGGTGGTGATGATGGTGATGGTTATGGTGGTGATGGTGGTGGTGATGGTGATGATGATGGTGTGATGGTTGTAGTGTCATGGTGATGGTGGTGATGGTGGTGGTGATGGTTATGGTGGTGATGATGGTGATAGTTGTGATGATGGTGATGATGATGATGGTGGTGATGGTGACGGTGATGGTGGTGATGATGGTGATGGTTATGGTGGTGATGGTGGTGGTGATGGTGGTGATGATGGTGATGGTGGTGATGGTGGTGGTGATGGTGGTGGTGATGGTGGTGATGATGGTGGTGGTGGTGATGGTGATGGTTATGGTGGTGATGGTGATGGTGATGGTGGTGATGGTGGTGGTGATGGTGGTGGTGATGGTGGTGATGATGGTGATGGTGGTGATGGTGGTGGTGATGATGGTGATGATGGTGGTGATGGTGGTGGTGATGGTGGTGGTGATGATGGTGATGGTTGTGATGATGGTGATGGTGGTGGTGATGGCGATGATGATGGTGTGATGGTTGTAGTGTCATGGTGATGGTGATGATGGTGGTGGTGATGGTTATGGTGGTGATGGTGGTGATGATGGTGGTGATGGTGGTGATGATGGTGATGGTGGTGATGATGGTGATGATGATGGTGGTGATGATGTTGGTGATGGTGATGGTGTTCATGGTGATGGTGGTTATAATGATATCATTCTCTGCCCTCCTTCTCACTCCCCTCCCCTCCCCGGCCCTCCCCCAGATCCTCGGGTATTTTGACATCGCCTTCACCACTGTCTTCACCGTGGAGATCATCCTCAAGGTGCGGGCGTGGAGAGTCTCTGGGTCAGGGACCCCGACCTGCTGTGGCTTCCACCCCTCGGCACTCACCCCGGGGCCGGTGGCAGGGGTGGGGAAAGCGAGAAGGTGGGAGAGGCGGGGCCAGAGCAGAACCCGGGCAGACGGGTGTCGGCTCCGGGCTGGGTGAGGGCCCTCCATGGGGCACAGCCGGGTGGCAGCCGGCCACACCCAGGCGCGCTCCCTCCCCAGATGACCACCTTCGGCGCCTTCCTGCACAAGGGCTCCTTCTGCCGCAACTACTTCAACATCCTGGACCTGCTGGTGGTGGCCGTGTCCCTCATCTCCATGGGGCTCCCGTGAGCAGGGCGGGCCGGCCGCGGGGAGAGGGGGGACCCCTCCGCTCCCGGCCAGGGCCCGGGGCACCAAGCCACAGGGATGCTGCCCTTAGCCCCGCCCCGGCCCCGCCCCCGTCACACCTGCAGCCTTAGCCCCGGTTCCGTCCTCCACCTCGCCCTCGGCCCGCCCCCACTCTCAGCCCCGCCCTCGACCGATCCTTAGCCACGCCCCAGTGTGGCCCCGCCCCCAGCCTGTCCTTAGCCCCGCCCCGCCCCCTTGTTCTCAGCCCCACCCAGCCTGTTCTTAGCCCTGCCTCCACCCTTGGCCCCGCCTCTGCCCTTGGCCCCGCCCCAGTCTGCCCTTAGCCCCACCCCAGTCTGTCCTTGGCCCCGCCCCCGCTCTTAGCCCCGCCCCGTCTGTCCTTAGCCCCGCCCCCTTGCTCTCAGTCCGCCCTTGGCTGTAACTAGCCCCGCCCACAGCCTGATATTAGCCCCGCCCCGCTCTTAGCCCCGCCCCATCTGTCCTTAGCCCCGCCCCGCCCCTCGTTCTCAGCCCCGCCCCGCCCCGCAGGTCCAGCTCCATCTCGGTGGTGAAGATCCTGCGGGTGCTGAGGGTGCTCCGGCCCCTGCGGGCCATCAACCGCGCCAAGGGGCTCAAGGTGAGCGGCCGGCGGCACCCGGGGGTGGGGGTGGGGGTGGGGGTGGGGGCGACTCAGGGCCCCAGCCTGGCGTCTGGGCGCTGCCCGCGCCTCTGCCCGCCGTGGGGCTGAGGAGGAGGCTGGGAGCCAAGCTCTCCCCTCCGCCGTTCCCCCTCCGCCCTCCCCACCCCACCCCTGCCTCTGCCTGCACCCGCGGGACCATCCCTCCCGCCCTCCCCCGCAGCACGTGGTGCAGTGCGTGTTCGTGGCCATCCGCACCATCGGCAACATCGTGCTGGTCACCACGCTGCTGCAGTTCATCTTCGCCTGCGTGGGCGTGCAGCTCTTCAAGGTGAGCCCCCATCAGGGCCCCCAGGAGCCCCCCAGGAGCCCTCCCAGGAGCCCCCCCAGGAGCCCCCCAGGGCCCCCCCCAGGAGCCCCCCCAGGGGCCCCCCCAGGAGCCCCCCCAGGAGCCCCCCCAGGGGCCCCCCCAGGAGCCCCCCAGGGCCCCCCCAGGGGCCCCCCAGGAGCCCCCCCAGGAGCCCCCCCAGGGGAGTTCGGCCTCCTTCCGTCTCCCAGGATCGCTGAGGGCAGGGTCCCATCGCCACACGTCCGGGCGCCGCCCCCATTCTGCACTCACTCTCGGGGACAGCCCGGCGCTCGGGTCCTCTCCAGGGACCAGCCCTGCTGGTGGGGGGTCCCGCCCCAGCCCGGCTCTGGGGCCATCTGCCGGACGTAGAGACGGACCCTGAGCACAGCCCGACACCCCGGCTCCTCCCTCCCGGACCCGGCCTTCTCCGGCCCCCACTGTCCTGCTGGAAAATCACCGACTTAGTCAGGCCATTCATTCATTCATTCACGCATTCATTCACGCATTCATTCACTCATTCATTCACAGGGGCCCTGGCTGGGAGCAGGCTCAGGGCGGGCCTGAGTGCCGGGGGAGGGGTCTGGGCCCGCCCCCGCCCCCTGGTTGGGCCACCCTCTGGCGGGAAGACTCAGGCTCCCCTTCCTCCTCCTGCCCATCACTGGGTCTGTTTCCATGACAACGCATCTCCCTCCCTCTCTCCCTCCCTCCTTCCTCCTTGTCCCGGGCTCAGGGCAAGTTCTTCAGCTGCAATGACTTGTCCAAGATGACGGAGGAGGAATGCAGGTGTGTGGGGCTGGTGGGGGGGGGGGGGTACCCGGTTGGAGGGCCCTTCTCGGGACACCTGAGGGGGTCAGGCGGCCCCTCGGGCAGGGGGGATGGGACAAAGCCCCTCATCCCAAAAGGGGTGCCCAGCCGAAGCCGGTGTGGCTCAGTGGATAGAGCGCCGGCCTGTGGATGGAAGGGTCCCGGGTTCGATTCCGGTCAAGGGCATGGACCTTGGTGGCGGGCACGTCCCCAGTGGGAGGTGTGCAGGAGGCGGCTGGTGGATGTTTCTCTCTCATCGATGTTTCTGGCTCTCTCTCCCTCTCCCTTCCTCTCTGTAAAGCAATCTTATAAAATATATTATATTCTATAATAAATAATACTATAAAATATCTATGAATTTTTTAAAAGGGGGGGGGTGCCCGGCCGTGTCCGCTCGGCTCGTCCCGCCCGGGCCCGGGGGACGTGGGGGGGGGGGGGTGCCCGGCCGTGTCCGCTCGGCTCGTCCCGCCCGGGCCCGGGGGACGTGGGGGGGTGCCCGGCCGTGCCCAGTGCGGTGACCCCCTCCCCCCTCCCGCGAAGGGGCCACTACTACGTCTACAAGGACGGGGACCCCACGCAGGTGGAGCTGCGGCGCCGGGAGTGGCTGCACAGCGACTTCCACTTTGACAACGTGCTGTCCGCCATGATGTCGCTCTTCACCGTGTCCACCTTCGAGGGCTGGCCTCAGTGAGTGCGGGCGGGCGGGCCGGGCCCTCGGTCCCTCCCCCGCCCCAGGCTCGTGGGTGGTTCTCAGCCGGCCCTGGACTCTAATGGTTGACCAAGCATGTCAAACTTGCGACTGGCGGGCCACACACCTCATTAATTTGGCCTGTGTTAGCCTTTGAGTTTGACATGCTTGGTCTAGACCAGTGGTCAGCAAACTCATCCATCCACAGAGCCAAACATCCACAGCACCACGCTGGACATGTCTTTGGAGAGCCACATTTTTTAAACTTAAACTCCTCCTGATGCCACTTCTCCCACAAATACTCGCCCGGGCCGTGGCGTTCTGTGGAGGAGCCGCCCTCCAGGGGCCAGAGAGCCGCGTGTGGCTCCCGAGCCGCGGCTTGCCGACCGCAGGTCTAGACTCTAGAGGACTTGCCATTCCAAAGACGGCCTGAGGGGCAGGGCTCTGAGCAGCGTCTCCATCCTGCAGGGCTCTCTCAGGGGGGACGGGGGGGACGGGGCGGGGGAAGAGGGGGAGAAGGGGACCCCCAGGGAAAGGCAGGTGCATGCTGGATCTGTCCCAGCCTTCCCTGCGCCATCTGACTGGTTCTCCCGTCGCTCGCTGGGCACAAGCGCCCCCTCCGGGGGGAGGAGGAGGGGGGAGGAGGGGAGTCCCCACCCCGCCCGGCCCCCAGCCCCCCGTCTCCCCGCGCCCGCCCCCAGGCTGCTGTACAAGGCCATCGACGCGTACGAGGAGGACAAGGGCCCGGTGCTGAACCACCGGGTGGAGATGGCCATCTTCTTCATCGTCTACATCATCCTCATCGCCTTCTTCATGATGAACATCTTTGTGGGCTTCGTCATCGTCACCTTCCAGGAGCAGGGCGAGACCGAGTACAAGAACTGCGAGCTGGACAAGAACCAGGTGCGGCCGCCCGCCCGCGGCTCAGAGGCCGAGCCGAGGCCCCTCTGCCGTCCCCCTCAGCGCACGTGCGGGCTCCATCCCCAGGAGCTGGCGTGCAGGAGGCAGCCCACCCATGGTTCTCGCTCATCATGGATGCTCTCTCCCTCTCCCTCTCCCTCCCTCCCTCCCTCTCTCTCTCTCTCTCTCTCACACACACACACACACACACACACACACACGGAGTGGCCAGATGATGACGATCCCTGAACACATAATAACCAGGCCACTCAGTGTCCGTCCTATAGAATAAAAGGCTCATAAGCAAATGGTTCCCTTGGCCAGGAGTGCGACCAGCAGGCCGGCCGGTCAACCACCCACGTCCCCTCCCCCTGGCCAGGCTGGCCGGACCCCACCCATGCACGGATTCATGCACCGGGCCTCTAAGATATAGATATAGGTATAGATGATATAGATATATAGATATAGGTATAGGTATAGGTATGGGTATAGATATGGATATGGATATAGATATAGATATAGATATAGGTATAGATATGGGTATAGATATAGATATAGATATGGGTATAGGTATAGATATAGATATAGATATGGGTATAGGTATAGGTATAGATATGGATATAGAAGATGATATAGATATAGATATAGATATAGATATAGATATAGATATAGATATAGATATAGATATAGGTATAGGTATAGGTATAGATATGGGTATAGATATGGGCACAGGTATAAGTATGGGTATAGGTATAGGTATAGGTACAGGTATAGGTATGGGTATGGGTATAGGTATGGGTATGGGTATGGGTATGGGTATAGGTACGGGTACGGGTACGGGTACGGGTATGGACTGACGGCCCCTGTGTCTCAGCGCCAGTGTGTGCAGTACGCCCTGAAGGCCCGCCCCCTGAAGTGCTACATCCCCAAGAACCCGTACCAGTACCAGGTGTGGTACGTGGTCACCTCGTCCTACTTCGAGTACCTCATGTTCGCCCTCATCATGCTCAACACCATCTGCCTGGGCATGCAGGTGAGGCGGGGCGGGGGCGGGGCCGGAGCATGCAGGTGAGGCGGGGCGGGGGCGGGGGTGGGGCGGGGCCGGGGCATGCAGGTGAGGCGGGGCGGGGGCGGGGTGGGGCCGGGGCATGCAGGTGAGGCCGGGCGGGGGCGGGGGCGGGGCCGGGGCATGCAGGTGAGGCCGGGCGGGGGCGGGGCGGGGCCGGGGCATGCAGGTGAGGCTGGGCAGGGGCGGGGCCGGGGCCGGGGGCTGGGCTGGTCCCCCTCTCTGCTCCCCCATGCCCCTTGGGATGGAGGTGTGAACCGGCCCAGGCCTATGGCCAGATGCCTGGCTGTGCATTTATATTTTATTTTTTAAAATATACCTTTATTGATTTAAGACAGGAAGGGAGAAGGAGATAGAGAGAGAGAAACATTCATGAGGAGAGAGAATTGTGGGGATCTAGCCTGCAACCCAGGATTGTGCCCTGACTGGGAATCGAACCCAGGACCCCTCCGTCCACAGGCCGATGCTCTATCCACTGAGCCACACCGGTCAGGGCTTGACTGTTTTTAAAGAGGTGATGCCAGCCGGCTGGCGTGGTTCAGCGGTTGAGTGTCGGCCAATGAACCAGGAGGTGGCGGTTCGATTCCCCGTCAGGGCACACTGGGGATGGAGCCCTCAACCCGGGCATGGGCCCCGACGGGGAATCGAACTGCGACCTCCTGCCTCACAGATTGACGCTCAACCACGGAGCCACGCCGGCTGACCGGGCTGGCTCCCAGTGTTTTGAGATTAAAGAGAGCAGTGGGCCAGGCCGGCGTGGTTCCGTGGATAGAGCGTCGGCCTGCGGGCTGAAGGGTCCCGGGTTCGATTCCGGTCGCGGGCACGCGCGTGATCCCCAGCGTGAGGCCTGTGGGAGGCAGCCCATCAATGGTTCTCTCTCATCGCGGATGTTCCTCTCTCTCTCCCCGCCCCTTCCTCTCTGACATCAATAAAAATACATTTAATAAATAAATGAACAGAGCAGTGGGCCGGGGGCCGAGGAGGGGGGAAGCTCTGGGAATGCCCTTTGGGGGAAGGGGTAGCCGGACCGCCCCCCAGCCCTGTCCTGTACCCCCGCCCCTCCCCCAGCACTACAACCAGTCGGAGGAGATGAACCACATCTCAGACATCCTCAACGTGGCCTTCACCATCGTCTTCACCCTCGAGATGATCCTCAAGCTCATGGCCTTCAAGGCCAAGGTGAGTGCCGGGCGGGCCCGTGCCCCGACCAGGATCGAACCCTGACCTCCTGCTTCACAGCTCGGCGCTCAGCCACGGAGCCACGCCGGCCGGGCCCACTGACCCCTTTACGGCTGGAAGAGACTGAGGACCCGAGGGAGAGGGCCTGGGAGATGGGGGGTGGGGGGTAGGAGCTCCAGGATCCGGGAGTCCCTGGGCCTGGGCCTGGTCCCCAAGTCTGTATTCCTCCCCACCACCCCCTGCTGGCCTCCCCACCCCATTCCCATCCCTGCCACCCCCCCGCAGGGCTACTTCGGGGACCCCTGGAACGTGTTTGACTTCCTGATCGTCATCGGCAGCATCATCGACGTCATCCTCAGCGAGATCGACGTGAGTGGGGGGCGGGCCGTGAGGGGGGAGGAGGCGGGACCCGGGCCTGTCCGTCTCCCCCCTCTTCCTGCTCCCCGGCCCCAGCCTGCGCCTCCCTGTCCCCTCGGCTTGGTCCTCACGCCCCCCACTCTCCCCCATGGGCTGCCCTCCATGCCGGCCTCACTGTCTCTCTCTCTCTCGCCCTCCTGCCATGTCCTCCCCCGCCCCCGCCCCCGCCCCCGCCCCGCTTCCCTCCACAGACCTTCCTGGCCTCCAGTGGGGGGCTGTACTGCCTGGGCGGCGGCTGCGGCACCGTGGTAACCCCCGGCATGCCGGCATGCACCTGCGACTTGCACGCCGAGGCCTGGCCTGTGCATGGAGGACCCCCCCTCAGGACCCCCTCCTCCCCCGGGGCAGGGCGGGGCGGGCTCTGTGGTACAACACGCATAGAACATGCATGGCTCACGCATGGATGCCGTGGGGTCCTCAGCGCCCTGGAAACTTGGGGGGTCGGGGGTAGAGGTCTCCCCTTCCAGGGTCACGGGCATCTGAGGGGAGCACAGGCATCTGAGGGGAGCACAGGGCATCTGAGGGGAGCACAGGGCATCTGAGGGGAGCACAGGGCACCGGGGGGAGCACAAGGCATCTGAGGGGAGCACAGGCATCTGAGGGGAGCACAGGCATCTGAGGGGAGCACAGGCATCTGAGGGGAGCACAGGACACCGGGGGGAGCACAAGGCATCTGAGGGGAGCACAGGGCATCTGAGGGGAGCACAGGGCATCTGAGGGGAGCACAGGCATCTGAGGGGAGCACAGGGCATCTGAGGGGAGCACAGGGCATCTGAGGGGAGCACAGGGCATCTGAGGGGAGCACAGGCATCTGAGGGGAGCACAGGGCACCGGGGGGAGCACAAGGCATCTGAGGGGAGCACAGGCATCTGAGGGGAGCACAGGGCATCTGAGGGGAGCACAGGCATCTGAGGGGAGCACAGGGCACCAGGGGGAGCACAGGCATCTGAGGGGAGCACAGGGCAGAGGCACCCCTGGGGCAGGGGGCAGGGGGTGAGGAAAGCTGCTCATGGGGAAGCTTCAGAAGCAGGTGAGATGAGCCGGAGCTGGTGTGGCTCCAGGGCTGCCGACTGGAGTGTCCTGGGTTCAATTCCCGGTCAAGGGCACAGGCCCGGGTTGTCTCGACCCCCAGAGGGGCCGTGCAGGAGGCGGCCGGTCCATGATTCTCTCTCATCATGGATGTTTCTAACTCTCTATCCCTCTCTTCCTCTCTCTCTGCAAAAAAAATAATAATAATAAAATAAAATAAAATATATGAAAAACAAAATAAAAGAGAGAGAGGAGGCGGCTCCCGCCTGCTCAGCACCCCCATCCCCCCCGCTGGGCGCCCGGAGCCTCTGGAGCCTGCAGGGCGAGCGCTGGCCACACACCCACAGGGACTCTCCTCTCCCCACGCACGGCCTCCGCCTTCCTGCCCCGACCCCTGACCCCTGACCCCTGGCCCCTGACCCCGGCCTCTGGGGCCGCCGCCCGCAGGACCCCGACGAGAGCGCCCGCATCTCCAGCGCCTTCTTCCGCCTCTTCCGGGTCATGAGGCTCATCAAGCTGCTGAGCCGGGCCGAGGGCGTGCGCACGCTGCTCTGGACCTTCATCAAGTCCTTCCAGGTGCGGCCGGCCTCCGCCGGGGACCCCAGTGCTCTTCCCCCGGGGACCCCACGGCCCTCCCCCCGGCCCTCCCCCCGGGGACCCCACGGCCCTCCCCCCGGCCCTCCCCCCGGGGACCCCACGGCCCTCCCCCCGGCCCTCCCCCCGGGGACCCCACGGCCCTCCCCCCGGCCCTCCCCCCGGCCTTCCCCCCGGGACCCCACGGCCCTCCACCCTCAGCCCTCCACCCACCCTTCCCCCGGGGACCCCACGGCCCTCCCACCGGGGCCCCTACGGCCCTCCACCCTCGGCTCTCCCCCCGGGACCCCACGGCCCTCCACCCTCGGCCCTCCACCCACCCTCCACCTGGGGACCCCACGGCCATCCGCCCGCCTGCCCAGTCCTGGGGGGTCTGAGGGTCAGGGGGGCCCGGGGGGCCTGGGTCCCCGTGGATCTGGGGGGGCAGGCCCAGAGAGAAAGCCTCACGCCCCCCTCCCCCCCAGGCCCTGCCCTACGTGGCCCTGCTCATCGTCATGCTGTTCTTCATCTACGCCGTCATCGGCATGCAGGTGAGGGCGGGGTCCCCACCCCCAGGCACCTGTCCTGGCTTCAGGGCTGAGGCAGCGCGAAGGCGGGGCCTGCAGGAGCTGAGGGGCCGGCCCGGGCCAGGGGGCAGCGGGAAGAGGGGGCATGGGGGAGCTGAGGGACAGGGCCTAGGCCAGGGGGGCAGCGGGAAGGGGGGCGTGGGGGAGCTGAGGGACAGGGCCTAGGCCAGGGGGGCAGCGGGAAGGGGGGGCATGGGGGAGCTGAGGGACAGGGCCTAGGCCAGGGGGGCAGCGGGAAGGGGGGCGTGGGGGAGCTGAGGGACAGGGCCTAGGCCAGGGGGGCAGCGGGAAGAGGGGGCGTGGGGGAGCTGAGGGACAGGGCCTAGGCCAGGGGGGCAGCAGCCGCACACCCAGCTCCCCATGTTCTTGCAGATGTTCGGGAAGATCGCCCTGGTGGACGGGACCCCAATCAACCGCAACAACAACTTCCAGACCTTCCCGCAGGCCGTGCTGCTGCTCTTCAGGCACGGCCCCCCCTGGGCTCAGGCCCCAGCCCTCTGCCGCCCATCGCCGCCGGCGCCCTCTGTCCCCGGGGCCCCGTCCCCCAGTCCCCCCCGAAGCCGCAGATGGAGGTCTGAGGGCTTCAGAGCCACCTCCTTCGCTGACCTCTGACCCTGCCTCCGCGGGGTCGGGACAGGTGGCTCTCGCCGCCCCTCCCATGATGGGCATCACCCAGTGGCTTTGCCCCTCCACCCAAGAAGCCCCCTTTGTGGGGGGGTCTTTTACCTCCTGCTTCTGCTGCCCCCAGAGGTAGATCAGGGGGACTGGGGTGCAGGGGGTAGACCGAGGCCCGGCCCCCCCACTCTGTTCCCCGCCCCCCGCCCCCGCCCACAGGCTCCTCCCCGCAGGTGTGCGACGGGCGAGGCCTGGCAGGAGGTGCTGCTGGCCAGCAGCTACGGGAAGCGGTGCGACCCGGCCTCCGAGTTCGCGCCCGGCGAGGAGCACTCGTGCGGCACCACCTTCGCCTACTACTACTTCATCAGCTTCTACATGCTCTGCGCCTTCCTGGTGAGCAGGGGCGGGCACCGCGGGCCCGGGGGGCGGGCATCGGGGGGGCATCGAGGGCATCGGGGGGCGCGGGCATCGGGGGGCGCGGCATCAGGGGGCACCGGGGCCATCAGGGGGTGCGGGCATTGGGGGGCATGGGCATCGGGGGCACTGGGGGCATCGGGGGGTGCGAGCATCGGGGGGCGCGGGCATCAGGGGCACCGCAGGCCCGGGGGGGTGGGCATCGGGGGCACCGCGGGCATCGGGGGGCGCGGGCATCAGGGGGCATCGAGGGCACCGCGGGCCCGGGGGGGGTGGGCATCGGGGGCACCAGGGGCAGGGCGGGCATCGGGGGCACCGCGGGCATGGGGGGGTGGGCACCGCGGGCACGGGGGGCGCGGGCATCGGGGGGGCATCGAGGGCACCGCGGGCATCGGGGGGCGCGGCATCAGGGGGCACCGGGGCCATCGGGGGGCGCGGGCATCGGGGGGCATCGAGGGCACCGTGGGCCCGGGGGGGCGGGCACCGGGGGGGGGGCGGGGGCCGTCTGTCGCTCCGGTGCACCCCGGGGTGTGTGGGGGGCGAGAGGCGGGTGTCTCGGGCCCGAGGCTGCAGCCCCGCCCACCGGTCCCCTCCCACGTGGGGCCCCGCGTCCCCCGACAGATCATCAACCTGTTCGTGGCCGTGATCATGGACAACTTCGACTACCTCACGCGGGACTGGTCCATCCTGGGCCCGCACCACCTGGACGAGTTCAAGGCCATCTGGGCCGAGTACGACCCCCAGGCCACGTGAGTCCGGGCCGCCCCGGCGCCCCCTGCGGGCCCTTCCGCCCCGCCCCGCCCGGCGCCCCCTGCGGGCCCTCCCGCCCCGCCCCGCCCCGCCCCGCCCCGTGTGCCCCCTGCGGGCCTTCCCCACCCCGCCCGGCGCCCCCTGCGGGCCCTCCCGCCCCGCCCGGCGCCCCCTGCCGGCCCTCCCGCCCCGCCCGGCGCCCCCTGCCGGCCCTCCCGCCCCGCCCGGCGCCCCCTGCCGGCCCTCCCGCCCCGCCCCGCCCCGCCCCGCCCTGCCCTGCCCGGCGCCCCCTGCCGGCCCTCCCGCCCCGCCCCGCCCGGCGCCCCCTGCCGGCGCCCCCTGCCGGCCCTCCCGCCCCGCCCCGGCGCCCCCTGCCGGCCCTCCCGCCCCGCCCCGCCCGGCGCCCCCTGCGGGCCCTCCCTGTGCCCCCCTGCGGGGCTGGACACAGCGGGCGTGGGGGGCGGCGGGGGCCGGGCGTGGGGGGCGGCGGGGGCCGGGCGTGGGGGGCGGCGGGGGCCGGGCGTGGGGGCGGCGGGGGCCGGGCGTGGGGGGCGGCGGGGGCCGGGCGCGGGGGGCGGCGGGGTGTGCGTGGGGGGCGGCGGGGGCCGGGCGTGGGGGCAGCGGGGGCCGGGCCTGGGGGGCGGCGGGGTGTGCGTGGGGGGCGCGGGGTGTGCGTGGGGGGCGCCGTGCCCACGGCCGTGTCCCCAGGGGCCGCATCAAGCACCTGGACGTGGTGACGCTGCTGCGGCGGATCCAGCCCCCGCTCGGCTTCGGGAAGTTCTGCCCCCACCGCGTGGCCTGTAAGGTAACGGGCCGGGAGGGGGGAGGGGGGAGGCCGGGGAGGGGGGAGGGGCGGGGAGGGGGGGAGGGGGGGAGGGCGGGGAGGGGTGAGCCGGGGAGGGGGGAGGCGGGGCGGGGCAGAGGCCGGGTCTGGGCGGGGACGGGGAGGCCGGGGAGGGGGGAGGCCGGGGAGGGGGGAGGCGGGGCGGGCAGAGGCCGGGTCCGGGCGGGGACGGGGGAGGCCGGGCGGGCAGAGGCCGGGTCCGGGCGGGGAGGGGGGAGGCCTGGCGGGCAGAGGCCGGGTCCGGGCGGGGAGGGGGGAGGCCGGGCGGGCAGAGGCCCGGGGTCCCAGGCGGGGAGCCAGGCCCCCCTCAGGGCAGCCCTCTGCCGGGTCCCCAGGTCCCCCCCACACACCCCGTGAAGGGCATCCAGCCCCCCGCCCTCATGTCCCGGCCCTGGGCCCGGTGAGGACGGCGGCCGGGTGGCCGGTCCCCGCCCTCATGTCCCGGCCCTGGGCCCGGTGAGGGTGGTGGCCGGGTGGCCAGTCCCCGCCCGCCGTGACCCCCTCTGGCCCTGGGCCCGGTGAGGACGGCGGCCGGGTGGCCGGTCCCCGCCCCAGTGACCCGCCCCCCCCTCAGCGCCTCGTGGGCATGAACATGCCGCTCAACAGCGATGGCACCGTCACCTTCAACGCCACCCTGTTCGCGCTGGTGCGCACCGCCCTCAAGATCAAGACGGAAGGTGAGCCGGGCCGGCGCGACTCCGGGGCTGAGCGTCCGCCTGGGAGCCAGGAGGCCAGGGTTCGAGTCCCGGGAGGGGCACAGGCCCGGGCACGGGCTCCCTCCCCAGTGCGGGGCGTGCAGGAGGCGGCCGGTCCGTGGTTCTCTCTCATCACAGATGTTTCCATCTCTCTCTTCCTCTCCCTGACTCTCTGGAGTCAATAAAAAATATATATATTTTAGGGCCCTCACCGGTGTGGTTCAGTGAATAGAACGTCGGCCTGCGGACTGAAGGGTCCCGGGTTCGATTCCGGTCAAGGGCATGGACCTTGGTGGCAGGCACATCCCCAGTGGGGGGTGTGCAGGAGGCAGCTGATTGATGTTTCTCTCTCATCGATGTTTCTAGCTCTCTTTCCCTCTCCCTTCCTCTCTGTACAAAATCGATAAAATGTTTAAAAAAAAGAGGGAAGGTGAGAGGGCCGCACAGCCCCCGGTGGCTGTGCCCAGCGGGCGGGACTGTGGGCCCAGCCCGGTGGCCTCAGGCGGCCCCTGCCTGTCCCTCTGCCCAGGGAACTTCGAGCAGGCCAACGAGGAGCTGAGGGCCATCATCAAGAAGATCTGGAAGAGGACCAGCATGAAGCTCCTGGACCAGGTCATCCCGCCCATCGGAGGTGCGTGGGCTCGGGGAGGGGGGCGGGGCCCTCGGCAGCGGAGGAGGGGCTGCGGGTCGGCTGGCCACGCTCTGAGCGCCCCATTCCCACGCCTGTCCACGCAGAAGCCCACCTCTCGCACGACGGCGCCCGGGAGACAGGCCCTGGGTGAACTTCCACCTCCCTGGGTCTGTACCCTCTACCTCTATTAATATGACCCAAAGGCCCCCAAGCAGCTGGAGCAAAACCCAAGGAAGGTTCTGCCTTAGGGAAAACAAATGAGGCCTTGATTGCAGGCCTGGAGAGAGTAGAGAGAGAGAGAGAGAGAGAGAGAGAGAGAGAGAGAGAAAGAGAGAGAGAGAGAGAGGGAGGGAGAGAGAGAGAAGAGAGAGAGAGAGAGAGAGAGGCTGCTGCCTGCAGGAGAGCTGAGGGTGGCCCAGACCCTCCCTCGGTCCCGTGGACAGACCCCACGGCCGCCTCAGGCCCGCTCAGAGACAGGAGGGCCGGCTCCTGTGCCCGGCCTGGGGCTCCCCCCCCCCCCCCGTCCCCCCGGCTCTCCCGGCCTCAGGCCTCAGGACCCCCTGTCGCCCGCAGACGACGAGGTGACGGTGGGCAAGTTCTACGCCACGTTCCTCATCCAGGAGCACTTCCGCAAGTTCATGAAGCGCCAGGAGGAGTACTACGGCTACCGGCCCAAGAAGGACGCCAAGGACACCAGCGCCGTGCAGATCCAGGTGCGCCATCCCCTAGCCAGGCTTCCCTGAGCCAGGCCTCCCCAGAGCCAGGCCTCCCCGCAGCCAGACCTCCCCCGAGCCAGGCCTCCCCTGGGCCAGGCCTCCCCGGAGCCAGGCCTCCCCTGGGCCAGGCCTCCCCTGGGCCAGGCCTCCTCCGGGCCAGGCCTCCCCTGAGCCAGGCCTCCCCCGAGCCAGGCCTCCTCCGAGCCAGGCCTCCCCCGGGCCAGGCCTCCCCGGAGCCAGGCCTCCCCGGAGCCAGGCCTCCCCGGAGCCAGGCCTCCCCGGAGCCAGGCCTCCCCGGAGCCAGGCCTGCGGGCGGTGCTCGCTCTGCGCCTGGAGGCCGGGAGGGACCAGCGGGGGGAGGGGCCCGGCGGGGAGGGAGAGGAAGGCAGTTGGGGGGGATGGGGGCTGTGATGGGAGACGGTCCCATCTCAAGAGGAGAGCCAGGAGCCCATGTAAGGTGACCTGATGTCCTGCCTTCGGCGGGACAGTCCCGATTTTTAACAATTTGTCCCGCGTCCCGCTGCGTTTTAAAAAAGTCCCGATTTCATCGACGTTTCTGACTCTCTCCCTTCCTCCCTGTGGAAAATAAATAAAATATACATTTTAAAAAAGGAAATGCGGGCGGCCGTGGGGTGGGCCAGGGCCCCTCCTGCGCCGGAGGCCAGGGGTCAGGGGTCAGGGGTCAGGGGCCAGGGGCCAGGGGTCAGGGGCCAGGGGCCAGGGGTCAGGGGCCAGGGGCCGGTCTCCGTCCGCAGGCCGGACTGCGCACCATTGAGGAGGAGGCTGCGCCTGAGATCCGCCGGGCCATCTCGGGGGACCTGACGGCCGAGGAGGAGCTGGAGAGGGCGATGGTGGAGGCCGCCCTGGAGGAGGGCATCTTCCGGGTGAGCTGGGGGCAGGGGGCAGAGGCCGATCACTGACGGACGGGGGAGGGGGGGGCAGAGGCCGATCACTGACGGACGGGGGGGGGGGGGGGGTAGAGGCCGATCACTGACGGACGGGGGGAGGGGGGGCAGAGGCCGATCACTGACGGACGGGGGGGGGGGGGGGGCAGAGGCCGATCACTGACGGACGGGGGGGGGGGAGGGGGGCAGAGGCCAATCACTGACGGACGGGGGGGGGGGGGCAGGCGCCGATCACAGGGGCCCACAGGAGGGGCGTGGGGGCCAGAGCCGCCCCATCCACCGCTCGGGGGGCTTGGCATCAAGGACCCGACGTCCTCCGGGGAACAGACAGAACAAACACATCCTCCCGCCCGCCCGCCCGCCCGCCCCACCAAACCTGGTCCTGCCTCCCGCCCGGCCCCACCCGACCCTCCTGTCTCCCAGCGCCCGGGGCCGATGTCCGTCTGTCCTGGTTACGTGAGCTCAGGCCTTAACTCCGTCCAGTGTCCTGTGGCCCCGAAAGGCCGCCTGGCAAACCTTCGTGGGTTCTTCTTTATTCGTATGGATGTCAGAGAGGGAGGGGAGGGAGGGAGGGAGAGAGGCATCAGTGATGAGAGAGCATCACGGACCGGCTGCCTCCTGCCCGCCCCACACTGGGGATGGAGCCCGCAGCCCGGGGATGTGCCCTGACTGGAAGAGAACCCAGGGCCCTTCAGTCCGTAGGCCGATGCTCTGTCCACTGAGCCACACCTTCTAGGGCCGTGGTCGGCAAACGCATCCGTCCACAGAGCCAAATATCAACAGCACCACGAAGGACATGTCTTTGGGGAGCCACATTTTTTTTTTAAATGTAAACTTCGGATGCCACGTCTTCCACACAGACTCGCCCGGGCCGTGGTGTTCTGTGGAAGAACCGCCCTCCAGGGGCCAGAGAGCCGCAGGGGGCTCCTGAGCCGCAGTGTCCCGACTCTGGAGCTAGGGCACTGGGTTCTTGTTTTTTATTATGGATTTCGGAGAGGAAGGGAGAGGGGGAGAGAGAGGCAGGAAAAAACATCCAGGACGGGAGAGCATCATGGATCTGCTGCCTCCTGCACGCCCCCTACGGGGAATAAATCGGCCTGTGACCTCCTGGTTCCCAGGATCGTCGATGCTCAACCGCTGAGCCGGGCCCTTCTTGGGTTCTCAGTGAGGAGACGGTGGCCCAGGAGGGCACCTGTGACAGTTAGCTCCCTGCCCAGCCCTGGCTGGCCCCCGCTCAGTCCTCCCTCTCTCCCCCTCCTCCTCCTCCTCGCCCCCAGAGGACGGGGGGCCTGTTCGGCCAGGTGGACAACTTCCTGGACCGGCCCAGCTCCCTGGCACCCGCCCTGGCCAGCCAGCGGCCCCTGCAGTTCTCCGACATCGAGATGGAGGAGCTGGAGTCCCCCGTCTTCCTTGAGGACTTCCCCCAAGACCCCGGCGCCCACCCCCTGGCCCGCGCCAACACCAACAACGCCAACGCCAACGTCGCCGCGGGCAACGGCAGCCATGGCAACCGCCAGGCGCTTCCCAGGTAGAGGGGCCGCCGCCAGCCCTGGGTGTCAGAGTCCTTGGGGGGGGGGGGGGGCGAACCAGGAAGGCCTGGCGAGGGGACCCCAGGCTGGTCGCCCCGAAGTTCAGCCTAGGGTGTCCCTGGCTTGCCTTGGTGCCCTGAGGGTCCCTCAGGAGGCTGACTCCACACGAGGCAGGTCTGGGTGCGGGGACAGCCTTCTGTGGGCCTGGCCACCCATGCTGGGTGGTGCTGGGCGACTCGGGGGGCAGCCAGGGCCCATCAGGGGGCTGTCAGAATCGGGGGCCCTAGGGGGGGCTGTGCCGGGGCCCCACGGTGGGCTCTGGGGCGGGACGAGGTCCCTCCCGGGTCTGAGAGCTCCCGGCGGAGCCAGCGTGAGGGGCCTGGAGGCCGGGGGGGGGGGGGGGGCGGCGTGGGCAGGTGGAGGGGCGTGTCTGCCCGGAGAACCCCGAGGGCAGGGGCGTGAGGCCGGCTGGGTTCGGGCCGGCCGGGGCAGCTGGCACCGGCCGGAGCGCCAGCCGAAGCCCACGCTGCAGCCACAGCTGCTGCAGCTGATGCTGATGCTGCTGATGCTGATGCTGATGCTGATGGGGCCGGACCCCAAAGGGCAGAAGGCAGCCAATCCATGATGCTCTCTCATCTGGATGTTTCTCTCTCTCTCTCCCCTTCTCCCTTCCTCTCTGAGAAAAATAAAAATAAAAAAGAACCAGCTGGTTTGGCTCAGTGGATAGTGTCTCCCCAGTAGGGGGCATGCAAGAGGCAGCCGACCCAGGATCCTCTCTCATCATTGATGTTTCTCTCTCTCTCTTCCTCCCTCCCTCCCCCTCCCTCCTTCCCTCTCACCCTCCCTCTCTCTCTCCCTCCTTGCCTCCCTCCCTCCTCCCTCCCTCCCCGCTCCATGGCCTTGCTCCCCATCCATTCCAGGGTCTGCTATGAACGGGAGTCCCCTGGGGAGGCCGAGATGCCGGCTGCCAGAGGCGGGGCCCTGGGTGAGTCTCTGGGCGCCCAGAGGCTGAGCCTCCTCCCATTGGGGGAGGGGAGAGAGGGGTACAGTGTGGGGTCGGCCCCCAGCACGGTCCACCCCCCAGGCCCCATGCCCACCCGGGGCCTCAGGGCGGGCGTGAGTCCCGGCCTCGCCTGTTTGCCCGCAGGACCCCGCAGCCAGTCCCGCGGGGAGCAGCCAAGGCCCAGGCCCAGGCCCCGGCGGGAAGGACGGCTGCCCCTGAGAGTGGGGCCCCCCGCCCAGGCGGCTCCTGCGCCCGGCCAGGTAGGGGCGGAGCCGGGGAGGGGCTGGGTGCAGAGGGCGGGGGCGTGGCGATGGAGGGGACCCCAGTCCTGGGACACCCCCTTTCTTTTCTTTTTAAAACACATTTTTATTGATCTGAGAGAGAGAGAGAGAGAGAGAGAGAGAGAGAGAGAGAGAGAGAGAGAGAGAGAGAAGCATCCACGATGAGAGAGGATCACGGACCGGCTGCCTCCTGCACGCCCCCCACTGGGGATGGAGCCTGCAACCCGGGCCTGTGCCCCGACCGGGAATCGAACCCTGACCTCCGGGCTCCTAGGTCAAGGCTCAGCCCCTGAGCCACGCGGCCGGCGGGACCAGCCCTCTCTGGGTCTGGGCGAAGGTCCCCTGGGAAGAGCTGGGGTTCACGGGGTCCCCGGGGCTCCAGTGTCCTCTCGGGGTGTGCTTTGTGCCTTTTGAACAGCGCCCCGAGACGGAGCCCCCCAGGATCGAGGCAGAGGAACCCCCTCCCGGCAGACGGGCCCCCGAGACCCCTCCCGGGGGCCTGGCTCCGGCCACCGCCCTGCTGATCCAGCAGGTGAGGGGGCGGGACCGGGTCCCGGGCTCCATGCATGGGGGCGGGGTGGGGGGACACGGGGGGCCTGGGAGGATGGGGGGGACACTGGGGGCCTGGGGGGGTGGGGAGGACACTGGGAGCCTGGGAGGATGGGGGGGGACACTGGAGGCCTGGGGGGGTGGGGAGACACGGGGCCTGGGGGCGTGGGGGGACACAGGGGGCCTGGGGGGGTGGGGGACACGGGG